TATGTAAGATAAAACACTAGAGTCGTTGAAGTTTTTTCTCCAAATATCTTCAGTAAATGAAGCAGCGAGTTTGAATTGAGGGGCATTGTCTAGAAATATTTGTTTTAGTTTACCTCTTCTGCTTATGAACCGTTTGAGACATAAAAGAAATTCTTCAGTCGTTAGATCATTAACTAGCTCTATATGAATGGCTCTTGTTGTAAGACAAGTAAATATGCAGCCATAAACTTTCCTTAAATCTCCAAAAGTCATTGTTGTGATAGTCTTTAATGTATAATGGGCCGAAGTAATCGAGTCCAGTGTGGCTAAATGGGATCTGCTCTGTTACAGTCTCTTTTGGAAGTGGAGGCATGGGTGGCAATTTGTATGGACCACCCTCCCAACAAATACAAGTTAGACATTTCTTGATAGGGTCATTCCATATGAAATCAACCAATACAAAATTATTTTCAACCTTCAATTATTTTATATTATTTTCAATTCAATTTTCAATTATTTTCAACCAAATCTTTGATTTTGATGAAATTTTGCATCCTAGTAGTATTTTGAGTCCTGAATCCAAATATGTTTTTAAAATAAACCTATCTTTTATAGTTTTTACAATATAAATATTTCAAAATGGTAAAAATTGGCGTTTTTTACCGTGCGGGCAAACTAAAATATTGTCTAGGATGAGTTCAATTGGTCCTATCAAGTTGTACAATGGCTCATTTTAAAGAGGATTCAAATGCCTTTAATCTTATACCTACCAAACTCAACTTACTTAGGTAAAAATTAATTTTTTTTGAAAATTTCAAAATATGTGAACACTCTACATGTTTATAAAACACTCACTATGTTTATATGTTAAAGAATGTAATCATGCATCATCTTAATCATTGTGCACGGTAAAAAACGCAAACTTTTACCATTTTGAAATATTTATATCGTAAAAACTAAAAAGTTAGATTTTTTTACATATTTGGATTCAGGACTCAAAATACTACTAGAATGCAAAATCCAAGAAGGTCAGATTGAGAGCCTAGTTGATTTGATATGGAATGACCCAATAGTTTTGTAGACTTGAGATCTTCCACACAAAATCCAGGATTCCTTTCTTATTTCTGCCAGAGTATGTTGAACTCCAACATGAAATAAAGCATTATGGTAGTGTTGTACAGTAGAGTCTCACAAACTCGGCGTAATGTGGACTGGAAGGGTGCCGAGTTTGTGAAATGTCGGGTTATCGGGAAGTATGGTTAAAAATAAGAACAATACAAATTTTAAACTTTTTAACCACCTTCTTGATTTTTATTTATATTAAAAGTCAGTATTGAGTCATCAGATATAGGTAGTTCAACAAATCATTAGTACGAGTTGAGAATAATTTGACTTAAGCTCGCTTGAGTTCATGATTAACTCAGACTCAAAAAATCACTAATTTTCTGAGCCAAGTGATGGCTGAGTTATCCAGACTGCCAGGTTATCGAGTGCCGAGTTTGCGGTACTCTACTGTATCACTAGAGTTGAGAAGTATTCATTTTTTGGTAGAAGTTTAGGATGTTTCTGGAGTAAGTTATTGAAAGTTCAACATATGAAAGCCTTCCAGAACACTTAAGCAGGCCGTCATAGTCAAGAAACAGTTTCAATTGTTTTTGAAGTGGATCTCTTTTATTGGTTTCGATGTTACTTATAGTTTCGGAAAAGTGTTTCTTTTGAACATATTTCTCCCATCTTAGTTTAGCCAACTGGATTTCTTCAGAAGTAATGTTAGTCGTGGTATGACCAATGGATTGTCTTATACACTTAGAAATAAATCTTTCGCAGAATGCTGTTACTCGTAGTAGTTTATTCAGAGTCGAAAATCGTTTGACATCAATTCCATATGGAGGTTCTACGATCCTTTCTTCAGCTGTCTAATTAAACACTGTTAATTCTTCTTTAACTTCATGAATTTCTTCAGTGGGATTAAAGTTCTAGTTCGGCCATTTATTTTCGGGCAGATTAAACCACTAAGGTCCTGACCCCCACTTGACAGCTACAAAGTTCGTTCACATTCATGCCACGAGTTGCTACATCTGATGGATTATTTTCGGATGGAACATATTCAAATATAACATCTTTATTTGCCTTTATTTCAGAAACTCTTCGTTCAGTGGATTTAGGTAAAATCTTAGTTGTGTTAATCCAATGTAAGAAGACTCACTGGGAGTCGTCAATTGCTGGGAGCTGGGAGTTTTCCAGCTCTGCTACCAATTGTCGCGGAGTTATAAGTGTGTTCTGATTTAAGTAAGTATATAAATGTGGAAGCGTGAAAGAAGTTTTATTTTTGACAATTAATGTATTTCAGTTTTAGTTACCGGTTTCATTATCTTTTTGCTATTAATTCAACTAGTCCAACTTTCTTTTTATATTCACAATAGGCTATACATGGTCTTAATAACATAAGTTACAACACAGTCTTTTTGGAACTGTTATAGCTTTGCCACACGGGGGGGTTTCATGGGGTAAAAAAGGTTTTTCCCATTTTTGATCCAAAAAACATAAAATTATCAATTTCTTTCCAAACCATGGAGAGCTTCAAAAACAAATAATTTAGTATATACAAGTGTTATTATGCGCCTCGAATGGTTACGGAGAAAATTCCAAAAATTGTACTGTAGGCCTAAATTTAAAACTCCCATGTTATTCTTATAGGGAGAATAAGTAAACTGTTGTAGTTTGCTTGTTTATGAACATATTTTGATCAAATTTGGAAAATGATTTGAATTCTTACTAACAATTAACATTTTTACAAAAAAAAAACAGTTTTACTCTCCCTGATGCAGCAAACCTTTACTTGTTAAACTAATTCTATTTAGGCCTAAATAGGGAATAAATGTTATATTTTTAAGTAGACACTTCAGTATAAATCCAATCAGGCAACTGGAAATTCGCTTAGTCTGCAGGTTTGCTGTGGCGGGGGTATTGTTTGAATATTGACAGTTTTTTTTTATTCATTATTATATTTTATTATTATATATTTTATTCATTATTTTTAAGTTCATTAAAAACGTACACCGAACTTAACTCAATTACCTATATTTTTACATTTAAAACATAAATAAAAATATAAACAGATCATAACCTATTTCCATGTTTGTTTAGGCCTACATTGAAATTAAAAATATTTTAGAAACAATATATATCGAACCGAATCTATATCGATATTTCTGCAGACATAATGTTGGGACTATGTTTTATCTATGAACAAATATGTTTATCTGTACGAAAAAAAATAACACAGATAAAACAAACTCCTCAAGGAGTATGGAATAAATAAACATCTATGGAATTAACCACCACAAGTTGTTAGCCTACTCATTTAGACCTTTCGTGTTTACAGTAGGCCTAGTTCATGTTTGTGACGCTGGGTGCGCTGGTGTACCTACAAAATCTGATTTAGGCATACCGGTATAGGGTTATTTAGTTTCATGGTTTGTACTTTACTGTTAGGTTGTATCTGGGTAACGAGTTCTCTTATAAAACCGATTTATGAAATCATACAGCAAGTTTGGTAGGTTTGGTTGGTTTAGAAAAGTTTCATTCCATAATAAACAATTATTCTTTTCTCATGAAATAAAACAGCAAGTTTGGTTGGTTTGGTTAGTTTAGAGCAGTTTTTCATTTCATAAAGAACAATAATTTTTTCCTCATAAAATCATACAGCAAGTTTAGTTTGTTTGGTTAGTTTAGAACAGATTCATTTCATAATCGACAATTATTTTTTTCTCAACAAGTGAGTGTTCATAAGATCTACATGTTGAAATCTTAACTGCAGTAGGCCTACTTTGCTATTGAAACCGGGATTTTACGATAAATACAGAGGGAATTCAGGTTAAATTGAGGGAATTCTAGGGGAAATTATGGTACAGTGACCTCCAACTGCATTGCTATTGTTTGTGGTTTGTGATAAAACAGATCAACAGATTTAATTGTGCAGATTTCTTATTGGCTGATGGTTTCTTTCGTGCAGTAATCTGATTGGCTGGTGATTCCTGGTGAAATATGTGGAATCCTATCAATATGTATTTGTTGGACGAAGTGATTTTAATTTTCGTTGTACATTGTAACCAAGTTGATGGTTGGCTATCGGCAAACCAAAGACAAGGTGCTCTCCGTGCGTGCCGGTTTTGGTTATCTTTGAGACAGCAGTAAATTATATGTCGAGTGCATATTCGTTGTGAATTTTTCACATTGATGAAGTGGAATTGTGTAAAATTGGTGTATATATTGAGGTTTTGGAGGAACTGTTGTCAGGGTTGGTTTTATTAAATTCCAGTCAGTATTTTGGGGACTGGAATTGCTTTTCCCCCAATTATTATCTTCCAAAACTTCATTTTAGGCTACCGGTATAGGGGCCTACACTTTTTACACAATTTCACACTTCAGGAAGTGTTTTTAAGCTGGGGTCTGGGTCCTAAACTTTTACCCAACATGGGGTGAGCAATTTTTTTTTTTTTTTTTAATCAAACATAGGCCTATTGTAGGCTACCTATTTTAGAATGCCTAGGCCTACATCAAGTTTTAAAAGCAGGAAAATAAAATGTCTAGGCCTAACTATATGTAACTTATACCGGTACCTATCTAAGATTTTTCGTTCATAATTTTGTAGGAAAATACCACGACTCTACTTTTGAAATTTTTGTATTGGTTAGGTTAGGTTCCAAAGAATTTAACGCAAATTTTAGTCTTTCAAATGTACCTAGCAGATTTTCATCAATTATTTTATTCAAAATCTCCTTCTTTTTCTCTATAAAATGAGTACGATACCGTATATATGACTAGGTTATCATTAAGTAATTTAGAAACTGCAAATTTTTTAAAAGAACTCTTGCGAAATCGCAAAAATGGCAGGGGCATTCATCCAAACCATCAGGGCAGTCCTAGGGTTAACTTAGCCTATAGGCCTACCTACTAGGCTACCTATATCTGTTTATCTTAAAATTCTAAGCTTAGTTTAAGAAGATTAAATCTCTTACCTTGTTTTCTGGTATGCGTCCATTCTCTTGAATCTAATTAGGCCTTGAAATAAATAGACTCCAAGCCTAATAATTTAATTTAGTTTATAATTGATGATAATTTAGTTCCCAGTTTATCACATATAAAACACAACAACACTCTGGTACTAAGGTAAATGTGAATCGAGATAGTCTTCTTTGTATTTACAATTTATTAAAACATGTCACTGTGTTTGGAACTGAGGCATTGTGTAGGCCATCATGGTTCCTGGCTGTTGCATAGCTGCTCCTTGAGCAGCTACTGCCATTTGTTGTGCAGACGCAGGTACAGGGGCTGGAACTCCTTGCCATGTAGCAGTGGGCATTTGCATTCCCATTCGTCCAACATAGCCTTGTTGGTAACCAAACTGTCCATAGTAATTCGGTTGCATTCCTTGTAAGTATTGACCTTGCATTTGAGCTGAAGCTGCATATGCCTGGGGATACCAATAACTCATTTGTTGACCGTACACATAGGGGTACTGAGCAGCAGCTGCACTCTGATTTGCATTGTTTGCATTCATATTTGCCGGACTTACCGAATTAGGATCGCCAGATTCTTTACCCCAGAAACATTTAACAATCTGGCCATTGATCTCCTTATTGTGGACACCTTCGATCGCGTGAGTCGCTGCTTCTTTAGTTGAAAACTTTATGAACGCATAGCCTTTGTCTTTGAAGCATCTGATATCTTGAATGGTTCCATAGGGTGAGAATATCTTCTGAATTAACTCATCTGTGATACCATTTACAAATCCACCACAATAAACTGTGCAATTGGTAGGACTTGACTGATTGTACACTTCATCGAATGTTGGCTGTTTATTAGTACTATTTTGTCTAACTCGATCATTTCGAGGTGGTGGAGGTTTTCTGGTAGACCAGTTGGTACGAATGCTTCGGCTTCCCAACCACTGACCATTCATAGCAGCAATAGCATTTTCAGCCTCTGCTTTCTTAACAAAGGAGACAAAAGCATAACCTTTAGACTTGAGTGTTTGGGGATCACGTACAATTCTACAGTTAGAGATTTCGCCAAATGGAGCAAATGCTTCTTTCAACGTTTGAGTTTCAATTTCGGGGCTAAGATCGCCAACAAATATGTGGTAATGGTTACTTGTGTCTTGTTTAGGATGATTACCAGGTGACGTTGCCCAGTTAACCTTCATTTCTTTGTCAAGAAACACTCGTTTGTTCATTGCAGCCAGAGCAGTTGCTGCTCCTTGATGATTAGTAAATTCAAGAAAAGCGTATGGATCATTTCCCGGTTCTCTAATTACCTTACATCCTTTGACTTGACCAATTTGAGAAAATAACGCACATAGAAGGTCTTCCGACACCGAGGCATCTAGGTTCCCGACGTACAATGTTCTTGGGTTGCTCTCTTCACTCATCCTTATTTCTCGTTGGTTTATTCGTCCAAAATTCAGAAGAATTAAAAATTAGCAATAATATGTCACAGAAATAGCAATATGAAAACACTACTTGCACATAAACTATTAATGTTTGATAAAAGTCGACATACACAACTTTTTGGATTAAGACATCAGTCCAGAACCGAACCGAACCAACCAACGAGCCAACAACGGTGACAAACTGATCAACTGATCTGAAAAAATAAATTATTTGGCAGTAAGATATGAGATACTATAACAAATTCAAGTTTACCATTACAGAAAGAATTTCACAAGCTCAATAACTACAAAACAAGGCTAACGATGTGAATATTCTTTCACACTTTTAACATATGATATTACATATATATATATATTATATTATTGTATCTATCTAAATTAGATAGGATACTGTTTAGCGTTTTCTTTTTAGTATATCAATTTATCCAGGCTGTCTTGCTTTTTTCCACTGTAATATTTACGCCAACCCAAATTCAAATAGTAAATATTTAATTTCAACCATGTCAGTAAATGTTTGTACCAAACTGTTAAAAAATTAGCAAACTTATTTACTGTTTACAATTAATATACAGGGTTAGGCTAAAGTCTGGAACCCCCCAGTTAACTTTTTAACGCGTTGCAGTAGGAAAACCAAACTCGGCACACATTTACAACATAAGAAATTGCACTTTTCCATCAAAGTTACAATTTTGTCCCAGCCCCCAAAATGGGGTATTTTGGGGGCAGCCGGGCAGCCCCAAATTTTCAAAAGTAAACACCTATCATGTGACCCCTCATTTTAAAGGTTTCATCAAGATAAATTGAATGGTGCAAACCAGAGGTCAATATCGCACCCCTAAGCAACATGGCAGCCATTTTAATTATTTAAGATGAGCAAGCAAGATAAAGTCTGGACACCCCCAGTTAACTTTAAAAACGTAATATTTTAATACTGACCAAATGGTGAACTCTCTTTTTTTATAAAGGTATGCTGAGTTTAGTTTTCCTGCTATAACCTGTTAAAAAGTTAATAGGGGATATTTCAAAATGACTGCCATTTTGATTAGGGCCGGCGCACACTATCCCGACCACGATCCGACTGGTCGGATACGACCAGTTTTACAATAGGAATAAATGGAACAGCGCTCACTGGTCGACTGGTCGGACCCTGGTCGCACGACCAAAATTTTTCAGTTTGTCGGGCCCGACCCACTGGTTGTTGCAGCCAAAAATCGCTCCTAATGTAATGGGACGACGCGCACTACCCCCGACTTGCCTCCGACCCGACCAGTACACCACTCAACCCCCAGTATTCCTAGATCAATCAAACGTTGAGCACTTGCTTTTTGCGCCGGTCTGTGAAGTGAGTTATTTGGTAAAATATCGCAGGAGTTTGACACGGAAAGTTAAATTTCACCACTGATTTCACCTGCAACTTTTCTATGGAATTCATCAAATCTTTTAACAGACATTTTTGTGTAATTAAAAAACCCGTTCATATTGACGTAGCTCTTCATAAAACGTAGCAAACTGCTCTTTTGTAAACCTGACAGTTAACATTGGATGTACCCAGTATCGTTTCTTCTTCCGCTTAACGTACCTAAGATACAAATGCACCACAGCAGCTACTTCTTCAACATCCATCTTGACACTGAAGTTTGTAAAACATTCGTTGCCTTGGTCGGGTCGTGCTCGGGTCGTGCTCTGGTCGCAATGGTCGCATGGTAAACTACAACGGCTGGTCGGGCGTTTGGTCGTGGTCGTGGTCGGGATAGTGCGCGCCTGGCCTTAGGAGTGCGATATTGACCTCTATTTTGCGCCATTTTATTTGTCTTGAGAACCCCTTTAAAATGAGTGGTCATATGATAGGTGTTTACATTAGAAAATTTGGGGCTGCCCACAAAATACCCCATTTTGGGGGCCGGGTACAAGTTCTAACTTTAATGAAAAAGTGAATTTTTAATGTTGTAAACGTGTGCCGAGTTTGGTTTTCCCACTGCCACACGTTATAAAGTTAACTGGGGGTGTCCAGACTTTATCTTGCTTATTCATCTTAAATTAAAATGGCTGCCATTTTGATTAGGGGTGTGATAAGGACCTCTGGTTTGCGCCATTCAATTTCTCTTGATAAACCCCTTAAAATGAGGGGTCACATGATGGGTGTTTACATTTGAAAATTTGGGGCTGCCCCCAAAATACCCCAATTTGGGGGCTGGGGCAAAGTTGTAACTTTGATGAAAAAGTGCAATTTCTTATGTTGTAAATGTGTGCCGAGTTTGGTTTTCCTACTAACTGCAATGTGTTAAAAAGTTAACTGGGGGGTTCCAGATTTTTGCCTAACCCTGTACATAGGCCTATGTTCTTCTTCTCACTTTTAATTTCTGACAACAGCTGGAGTTTCATAACAATTTTTGATTCCCATGTTAATCTTATGGAGAAATACAAAACTTTAATGGGCCCCAGGGCCTCACTCTCTAATTATTTCATTTATTTCCCTGAAAAGAAAGTTTCCTGCACAACTCCAAGTTACGCTCTTTCCAATGACACCAAAAACATGTCAATCGGTTCAGTAGTTTAGGAGGAGTAATTGTCACAAAAAACCTGCTTGCATTAAATAAGTAGGCCTATAGATAATGATTTTATTAGAAACACATAAATTCACCTATTAAAAAATTAAAGTTTAAAAAGTGTTCAAATGTGCCCCACTCTTCCCCAAACCAAGATTAGGTTAAGTTTGGTAGGTAGGTATTACGTTATTGACACATCGGTCAAATATGCCAATAGCTTATTACCCTACGTGATTTTTAACGCTTGTCACAATTTTCAATTGCGTTATTTTGGGTTGAAATAAGTTTAGGTGTTTGCCGAAAAAGTGGAAGAAAAAAAAATGGGTACAGTTTCTGAGTTTCTTAACTGGGCTATGCTATCCCTAATATCTATTGAAAATATCGATTCGATTAGTGAACCTTCATTCGATTTTTTTATTATCAGCAAGTTTGGCGTTCTTCCCACAAGTGCTAAAGGTAAAAGGCGCTTAAAATAGGCTAAATAATGAGAAAAAAATTTTCTTTTTCAAAATTCTTTAGAAGCCCCTAAATTAAACAAATAAATACCAAAACCCTTACCGAACCGACCCTAGATATACAAATAAGATAGGCTGCAGTAGGCTACTTTCCTATTAATAATCGCAGGCGAATCCGGTAATCGGATGTGGATTAGGCCTTCCCACTGGTGTCATAATTATTTGTACAAAATTTGAACGCTATAAGTGTAACGGTTCTTGAGTATATGATGCGAACACACACACTCACAGACAAGCGGACAACTTTTCTCCGACTCCGCTATACACGATACATAGATTCGTTCACTCATCTAGAAACCCTTGTTTGGATAAAGGTGGTTTCATCAAACTGTCATTAATATGTTAACATTAAAAGCTGCTTACAAATAATGCTATTAATGGGAAATAACTTTGATTTTAGAAAACTTAAAAACAATTTTAAAACCAAAGGAGATTAATAACTTCGGTACTGCACCACATCAAGTGAGTTTTTTTTTAGCAAACCAATATAGTGAGTTTTCAAAGCTTTACGTTGTTAACGTTACATGTGTTGGTTAGTCTATGGTTACATGTTACATGTTTTGTGGCCTGTGCAGTGTTGCCACTTTTAGGGTAATTACCCTTTTTTAGGGTAATTTACTGGTCTTAGGGTAAAGTTTAGGGTAATGGTAGATTTAGGGTAATTTTAGGGTAAAACTAAAAGTTAGCATAACTATGGAAATTTTACTAAAAAAATGAAAAAAACTTCAAAATTTGGCAAAAAACGTTCATAAAATACTATGGCCAAACCATCATATTCGATTCAAATCGGTTTAAATCGATTGCTATGATGAATTTTTTATAATAAGTTATCCTAATTATAAAAAATTGAAATTCATTCTATTCGATTCTATAACACGTTATAGGCCTAATTAAACATGAAATATTATTCATTACTGGGTTTGATATTTAATTATGTGGCTGAATTGAATTAAACTGGATTATTTTACATATTGTGTCAAGAAATTACTACAGTACTATGTATAGATTAAAGCTTTGGTGGTACCGTACTGTATTTTAAAGATATGATTGTCCAAAAACAGTAGTTATGGGTCGATACAGTAAAAAATGCGATAGTTCTTGATTCGATATTTTTCGTTATACGATAGTCGATAGAGCTGATCAATATCAACATTTTTTTGTTCTTCTTTCGGGTGGTTTTTTAGAATTGAGTATAATTTTACGTAAATTGATTGATATTGGAACTTCATTTAGTATAATTAACCACCTTATGTAGGATTTATATGATTTTAACAATGTTTTATAGCATTAAACGCAAATATTAACATTTAGGGTAATTTTTAGGGTAACTCAAAGTAGATTTAGGGTAATTTAGGGTAATTTTAGCCCGCCTTTAGGGTAAAATCGCAGCAACGCGGTGGCAACACTGGGCCTGTGTATTTATTTATTTATATATTTGCCAACAGATTAACACCTATAATACAGTTTGGTTAGAAGGACAGTTTGAATTAGTCGTAAGTACTTCAGTTCTTTTCTCAAATGTAAACGTTGGTTTTTGGTACTGATACTAGTATGATACTGTACTACTTTTCCTTAGAACCGGTGGTAGCAGTAATAATAATTTTTACATACAAACACATCACTATTTTCACTATTTATTTATAAACACTGCACCTTATTACTTAAATTTAATTGATGTCTTACTGTATAATTTTTAGCATTTTCTGTCTGGACTCCAAAATGTTGTGTGGACTCAATTAATTCTGTACTAGTGTACATGTTGCTCGAATTCGAGCAATTGCAAAGTATTACAGGAGTTATTTCAAAACTAATAACAGTCATATTTAATGAGTTTAAAAGAGTCAACTCTAAGATTACTGGTGTGTAAATTAGACCATGTTTATCTTCGTTATTGATAAACCTAAAGCATTCCGGCCGGTTTTCTCCTTCTCAAAATGCCTCGCTGTACAGGCAACACAGGTCATTGATATAGGGCCAATTGAGAACGAAAAGTCGTTTTGGGGTAGTGTTAGGGCGCATTTGTAACCTAATAGTTGAGATTGACCAGGGTCAGGTGCTGACTGTGATGAGTTATGCCTGTTAAAAT